TGATGTGGATGTAAGTCGAGGCCTCTGGTGGAGCCAACGTCGGAGTCAACGTGTCAGTCGGAGCTGGCGCGGCTGTCGAGGCTCGAAGTTGTGCTCCCGGTCGGCGTCGGAGGCAACGTAGGAATGGTAACTGGCGTCGGACCTGACGGTGGAAGCGCAGCCGGGACGGAAGTCTTCTGTGCCAACTTCGAGCGTAGCGGTCCGGTCTGGTCGCCCATCCGCCCACAGTGTACGCAACAAAATGGAACAAAACTGTAAAGATGTCCATCCTCATTGAGCCGCCCGCCGACGTGTCGAAATGCCAATTGTGTACGCGATCGCCGTGGCCACCGGTTCGGAGCCAGAGTCGGAATCAGAGTCGGAAGGAGTCGGGGTAGGTTCAGGAGTCAGGGCCAGAGCAAGATGCGAGGAAGGAGTCGGAGACGAAGCGAGTGCCAGACGACGAGTCGAAGTCTGTGCCAGAAATGGCGCAGGGGTCGAAGCTGGGGTCTGAGCCTGACCGAGCGTCGCAGGGGGAGTCGGAGCTGGAGCTGCAGCCGGCATCGGTGCTAGCGTGCCTGTCGAGGTATGCGCGTCCATCGGAGTTGGCGTCGCAAGTGTAGCTGCGGAAGTCGCCCGTTCCAGTCCCTCTCTGCAAGTATTGTGCCCAACCGAGCGACACAAACGACCAAACGACAACGTCCAGTGCGATCTACTTTCTCCGTGACGCATATCATCATCTAACCCTACAGCCCTGCTTATATGCAGAACAGTTTACGCTAAGAAAATGGCCTTCACTCGAAGCATTCTCTTAAATCGTAGTCCAGGTCCACATATAGGAACGTTGTACGAAGAAAAGAAGCTCCAAATAAAAGCCCTGGGTCCAGTCCAGACTCTCGATTTTCTTGAGCGAAATCAGGAGTCCATAATGGCGTTGTTTCGTAGGTTTCTGATGGATGTAGACGTGCGTGTGCATGAAATTAACTGTACAAGTACAGTCCACATGGTGGGACACGCCAGAAGCAGTAGTCGGAGGTGGAGTCGGAGCACAAGCTGGCATTGGGGTCGGGGCAGGGGCAGGCGACGAAAAAAGGGTCTGGGAGTTGTGGCCAGAAGCGGACTCGAAAATTGCATGCGCGGTCGCTAACCCCACGGTCGACACCGCCAGCGTCAGAGCAGGGGTCAGAATTGGAGCGTGCAAAGGACATTCCAGCTTCATCTTGACTCCAGCAGTACGGCGCGCCTAAGGAGGATGTGGGATCGCCTCTTCACAACTATTACTTGAGATACATGTCTAGATGAACACCATAATGTGTGTATGCATGTTTACGTTTTTACAGATGTACATACATAATACATACAAACGTACATGCATACATACATACATAAATACATACATACATACAGACATACATACAAGCAAATAAACATACAAACATACATGCATATGTACATCCATGCATGCATGCACACATACCAGCATACCTACATACCTACATATATACATACCTACATACCTACATACACACATGGCATCGCTGATTATCGGAATGAGGGTGTCCGAACTGTCCTGCTCTAATTATCCCTGCGCGCGCGGCTGCAGCGCAGTCTCGACAAGGGGGCGGGCGCGCTAGTCGGGCGAGCCAACCGGGCATACTTATCGAGCGCGCTAATAAGGCGAACAGGCTCTAGAACGAGCGTTGTTTTATCAGAGAGAGCGCGTTTCACGGGCACTTGCCTTCGGAACATTCGGCGGCGCGTTTCTAACGGGGGGGTGGGCCGCCCCCCCCAACACTCGGCGCCGTCGATCAAAACCAGGGGGACTCCCCTTCCTCCTAAACCCCCCCCCTCCCCACCCCACCCCATCTGGCGCCGGCGCCAGCGCTGGCGGCGGCCAGCATCGCCGACGGCAGACGCAGCGACGATAACCAGAAAGGGCCCTGCAGGGGGGGCGGGGGTTCCAAACCCACCCCCCCTGCCTCGGCGCCGGCACTGGCGCCGGCGCTGGCGGCGGCCAGCAGCACCGACGGCGGGAATGCAGCGACGATGACCAGCGAAGGGCCAAAGGCCGCAGAGGGGAAACACAAATCGCCATGTACACCACTACAACAACCACTACCACCACCACCAACCACCACACCACCACCGAAACCACCACCACCACCGCCACAACCACCACCACCAGCACCAGCACCACAGCCCACCACCACCGCCTTCGCTTGACCCAAAGCCAAGACACTGGGGTGGGAAGACCCGAAGGCCTGACCACCACCACCACCACCACCACCGCCACCACCGCAAACCACCACACCACCACCACCACCTCCACCACCACCACCACAACCAGCACAACCAACCACCACCACAACCACCACAATCACCACAGACCGCTGCACCACCACCACAACCAAAAACGCCACCACCACCACAACCCACCACAACCCACCACAACCAACCACAACCACCACGACCACCACCACCACCACCGCAAACCACCACACCACTACCACCACTATCACCA